ATCGATGAAACTGATTAAAACGACAAGGGCAGAGAAATGAGATATGTGGTAAGAAGATGGAAGAATTGGGCAGGAGGAGAAGGAAGAGCCGGCCGGTGGCCCGCGTCCCCGGCGGCGGGGGGTGGTTGAAGAATTCTTCTCGGGGAAACGCCATTCTAAACGCCACTGTTGCTGGAAACGCCACTCTAAACACAAAATTTGAGTATTAAAAATTTTGATTTGGAAAAAGAAGGTATTAAAATTCATAAAATCAAAAGTTAGATGATTGATTTTACCATAATGAATGATAAAGATTGATGAAGGACTATAACGTACACAATAATTATTCCATGTATGTGGTTGTAATTTAAATTATCATTAATAATTAATTTACTTATAATATAAATAAAAATATTTAATAATTAATTTTCAAGTGTGAACAGGGGCGTACGCTAAGGTTAGCGTACGCCCGGGCGTACGCTAGCCTTTGCCATATATATATTTTCCAGATTCCGGCGTCGGAGAGTGCTGCGATGCCGGAGCTCCGACTAGAGCAAGATGTGACCTCTGAGTCCCCATCACAAGTCGTTGTCGCCCTTCTCCAACTCTTCTCCAAACTTCTACTTTCGGCTCTCTAAGAGAAGTCACTTTCTCCGTCTGTCAGAAAAGCAAACGGGCGAGCTTCCCAAGATGGTTGAGGGAGTTCTCGAGGAAACACCTAAAAAAAAAAAAAGAAAGAGGAAGACGCCAACAAAGGAGGACGCACTCGCAAACTTAAATCGAAGGAGGAGAACGCTGAGGAAGAAGAGTAGGGCAACCTATTTTCTAAAGCCCAAAGCCCATTGAACGCTGACCCGCCTCCAACACTTCGCCATTAGCGCAGGTCTACTTCACGTCAACCCGCTGAAAGTCAACCGCCAGGCGGCCCAAACTTTCAAAGCCGGCCCAGGCTCGCTTTGCAAATCAGCCTGCCTTGGCCCATCAACTTGGCCCAGCTTCAGTCAACCTATTGCGGCTCCAAGACCGCTCACCGTCATCACTGAAGACTTGGGCCGCCTCGGATCAAATCCCGCGCGACCTGCTACCCACCTCCAACTCACGGCCCGACCCGCCTTACATGGGACCGCCTCCATCTGACCCCGACTCTCATCTCATGCATGCGTCCAACCTTGCATCACCAACGCGGCCCATCACGCGCTGTACATAATGCCCACTTTGTCACACGCGACCCTCCTCCCGCCACATCGTCAGGATCGCCAAGTCTCGGCCGCTTCGCGTTGGGTCTCCCAAGGCGGTCCCGCCTCGCGTAGAATGGGCCGCCTCCAGTTCGTCAACATTGGTCGACTCCAATCAGCCCGCTTCAACCTTGCACGGCCCGCTCTGCCTTCAAAGTCCTCGTTGTGCGACCAGCCCGCCAAGAATAGCCATTGCCGCAGAGTAAAGACCACCTCGTTCTACCTCGATGAGCCCATCAAACACGTCGACCGTCCATGGACTTAGGCTGGTCCGCCAAGCACGGCCCAAGTTTCAGCGGCCCACGCCTCATTGAAAAAATGAATTAAGGAACCGCCACCAACAAGGGTCGAACCAGTGACCTCGCCCTCGCACTGAAGAGCTTCAACCAATATACAACAAGACCGCTTTGATAATCATTGACGCAAAAATACTGCTCTCCAACTTCTCCCAAGATAAGTAAACCTTTCTCGGCTTCAGAACCGTCGCACGCCACAATAATGCGGCCCAAATGCGGCCCACTTATTGTCAAGACCGGCCCAGTCAACCGCATGGCTCCCACTTCCACAGCCCACGTGTCCACACCTAGCTAAAGGAAGGCAAAGCACATTCGACAAAAAAGAAAAATTAAAGAACACTCACCAAGCTTCGAACCATCAACCTATCATTCAAGAGTAGACACCCCAACCAGTAGACTACACAGGTACACTGTTAATGAAGGACGCAGCGGCCCGTACTTAATCGCTGTCCACAATAACCGCTTCTCGTAGCCAACAGTCTCAATGTGGGCCGCCCTAACATTGGCCCGCCTTGACCTTGAATCTGGAGCGACCACGCCAAGCAAAGACCGCCAAGACCGGGCCCGGGCCCGCTTCTGTCAGACCCGCTCCACATTCAGACGCGGGCCGCCTCCACACTTGGACAGCCCAAAGGAAGACAAGAGAGACGTTCAGCTAAAAAGAAGGGAGCCGCCTCTAACGTGTTTCGAACCAACGACCTGCATTTGATAGGCAAACACGCGAACCAATATGCTACAAGGACACAATGGCTAAGATCCTGCGACGCCCGAGATTTATCCATCGACCTGCTGCCTTCTCTACTATCTTTTCTCAAGATAAGTAATTTCTTCAAGAATATATCTTCAATTCAACGCCATGAAGAGGCATCACCACCATTCTAGGATATTCATCATAAAATTCTATGCTTATTTATACTATGAGAATATTGGATACTAGCACCTCATGCTATATTTATCAAATACCCGCCTCTAGCGGGGGGTCGAAGACACACGCCATCCGCCTCAGGGCAAGGCTTGAAGACCGCCTCAGAGCGATGCTCCCTCCGGGGAATGCTTCCCGCCTTCGAGTGGTCCTCCCTCCGGGGACTGATTCATGTCTTCCACCTTCAGGCAAGGCTCGAAAACCGCCTCAGAGCGATGCTCCCTCTCGGGAATGTTTTTCGCCTCCGAGCGATGCTCCCTCTCGGGAATGTTTTTCGCCTCCGAGCGATGCTCCCTCACGCCTTCGAGCGATGCTCCCTCCAGAAATGGGCGCCTTCGAGCGGTCCTCCCTCCGGGGAATGATTCGCGCCTTTCGCCTCCGGGCAAGGCTCGAGCACCAATTCTGAGCGATGCTCCCTGCAAGGAATGCTTCCACCTCCGAGCCGTGCTCCCTCTCAGGAAACGAATCACGCCTGCGCCTACGGGCTAGGCTTGAAAAGGAACACCTATCACATCCGGACGTTGCTCAAATACATATCTCTTACCTCCGGGTTAGGCTTGAAGACGCACGCTTCTCAGCAGGCTGGAAGAAGAAGCGCTTGCCAATTAAGTACAAGAAGGAACATCACTTAGCGGGCTAGAGACGGAGTGCCTCTAAGCGGGCTAGAGACGGAGTGCCTCTAATCGGGCAAGAAGGCGGAGCGCCTCTCACAGGATGAAAGACAATGCGCTTCGTAGGAAGCGAAGGAGCAATGTGCTTCCCAGAAAGCCGAGGAACGGTGCACTTCTAAAGAAGCCGAGGAGCAATGCGCTTCTCAGGAAGCCGAGGGAGCAATGCGCTTCCCAGGAAGCGAAGGAGCGATGCACTTCCCAAGAAGCCGAGGAGAAATGCGCTTCTCAGGAAGCCGAAGGAGCAATGCGCTTCCCAGGAAGCCAAAGGAGCAATGCGCTTCCCTGAAAGCCGAGGGGCGATGCGCTTCTCACGAAGCGAAGGAGAGATGCGCTTCCCAGGAAGCGAAGAAGCAATGCGCTTCCCAGGAAGCCGAGGAGAATCAGGAAGCCGAAGGAGCAATGTGCTTCCCAAGAAGCGAAGGAGCAATGCGCTTCCCTGAAAGCCGAGGGGCGATGCGCTTCTCAGGAAGCGAAGGAGCATGCGCTTCCCAGATTGCCAAATGAGAGATGCGCTTCCCAGGAAGCGAAGAAGCAATGCGATTCCCAGGAAGCGAAGAAGCAATGCGCTTCCCAGGAAGTCGGAGACTTAAGCGCTTCCCAGAAAGCCAATGACTAATGCGCTTTCCAGGAAATTGAGGACTAAAGCGCTTCCCAAGGAGGCCGAGGAGCAATGCGCTTACGAGGAAGCCGAGGAGCGACGCGCTTTCCAAGAAGCGAAGGAGCAATGCGCTTCTCAGGAAGCAGAGGGAGCGATGCGCTTCGTAGGAGGCCGAGGAGCAATGCGCTTACGAGGAAGCCGAGGAGCGACGTGCTTCCTAGGGAGCGTAGGAGCGATGCGCTTCCCAGGAAGCGAAGGAGAAGCACCCCAAGAAGCCGAAGAAACTCTAAGCTTTCCAGAAAGCTTAAAGCTTCTCAGGAAGCCGAGGGAGCGACGCGCTTCGCAGGAGGCTGAGGAGCAATGCGCTTACGAGGAGCGACGCGCTTCCCAAGAAGCGGAGGGAGCAACGCGCTTCCCGGGAAGCCGAGGAGCAACGCACTTCCCAAGAAGCGACGGAGTGATGCGCTTCCCAGGAAGCGAAGGAGAAGCACCCCTGGAAGCCGAAGAAGCTCTAAGCTTTCCAGAAAGCTGAAAGACTTATGCGCTTCTCAAAAGGCGAAGTACTAAGCTTCCTAGAAGAGAATAGTTAATCTTACCTCAGCAAGTAAGACATTAACAAGACACATGACTTCCTGACAACATGGACACGACATTGGTGATACACGAAACAAGAGCGTCTTGAGTTAAAACTCTCAAGCCGTGGGGGCCACCCTACCTAGGTCGCAATTATGGTCTACTAGCGGTAACAACAATGGACTACCGAAGGAACTCTTAACAACTTGAGAGCTTTGTTCAAGACATCGAAGGCCAAGCAAGGGGCAAAGGAGATGATCACGCAAATCGCACAAGGGGCAAACCGCATCATCCGGATTCGTAAGTAAGGCAAATTAATACACGATTAACGCATTATGTTACTCCTTCCATCCTTACAGGATACAAGAAGTAAAGGGGCAATTGTTGGGATATGGATTAATATGCCTACACGACTATAAACGGGCCCAAGCCCACCGCAAGGCATCTCGGGCCCAAGCCCACTCAAGGAGGCCCAAGCTCTATATAAGGAGGCCAAAGCCTCCAAGCCAAGGGGTCTCTTCCCTTCCACACTCTAAGCCTAAGGTCTCTCTCTAAACTCTCTCTCTCTACATACCATAAACCGCATACCATATCGTACTAACTTGGGCGTCGGAGCGTAGATCCCGGGGGCCGCCCCCCGCCTCACAGGTTCTTCCCCTCTCGAGGAGATCAGACGAAGGAGTCCAGATCGGAGCCTCACAACCGCCTAGTATATTCTAGGCTCAAACACTAACCCTCCTAGGCTTCCTCCTCTTTCTCAGACGCACCCTCACCTTCCTCGACTGGATATGGGCCGCGTTCCTCCGACCGCCAAAGGACCTTAAGGAACATTACGGCTCATGGGCCGTACTCACCGGCCCAACCGACGGGATAGGGAAGGCTCTCGCCTTCGAGCTGGCCTCTAGGGGCCTCAATCTCGTCCTCGTGGGCCGCAGCCCGTCCAAGCTCCGAGCCACCACGGACGAGATCTATCTACATCTATCTACATCTACATCTACACATATTATAATACACCGAATGAAAAAACGGGAGCCCCATTTCAAATTTCCTGCAACGAGAGTGAAAGTAGGAAGGACATTTTGGTCTTCACAATTACTTTTTTTTATTCATTAAAAAGACATGTACTAGGATTCGAACCATGACCATTTTAAAGAAAAACAAGGATCATAACCAATCACACTAAGTACATTTGTTTTATCTATTTAAATTAAAAACATATAATAGCAGGGAGGAAAAAACTCTTCCCCCATTTCAAATTCTATGCTCAATGAGCGTTTGTAGGAAGAGTAGAATAGGTAATGTCAATTTTTTTCTCTTTCCTCTGTGGAACGGGCCAACTTACCGTACACATGCGGATTTAAACGGGTCCAGAAGTGTCAATTTTTTTTCTTTAAGCTCTTTTATTTCTCTGTGGTGATAAAATATATATGAAAAGGCAAAAACAATACTCCTTTTTATTGCTCAAAATAAAAAATTTAACAATAAATTAATGCATGGTATCTAATGGGCTAACCGCTAACCATAAAATAAAAGAGTTGAATGAGTCTGACCTACACGAGATTTGGCCATCAAGTAAAACAAATGAACATCATTGGTTTGCCATTCTAAAAGCGTTTGTAGGAAGGGTAGAATAGGGAGTGTCAATTTTTTTCTCTTTCCTCTGTGGACCTGGCCAACTTATCGTACACATGCGGATTTAAACTGGTCCAGAAGTGTCAATTTTTTTCTTTAAGCTCTTTTATTTCTCCATGGTGATAAAATATATATGAAAAGGCAAAAACAATACTCCTTTTTATTGCTAAAAATAAAAAATTTAACAATAAACTAATGCATGGTATCTTATGGGTTAACCGCTAACCATAAAATAAAAGAGTTGAATGGGCCTGACCTACGCGGGATTTGGCCATCAAGTAAAACAAATGAACATCATTGGTTTGCCATTCTAAAAGCGTTTGTAGGAAGGGTAGAATAGAGAGTGTCAATTTTTTTTTTCTCTTTCCTCTATGGAACGGGCCAACTTACTGTACACATGCGGATTTAAACGGGTCCAGGAGTGTCAATGTTTTTCTTTAAGCTCTTTTATTTCTCCGTGGTGATAAAATATATATATGAAAAGGCAAAAACAATACTCCTTTTTATTTCTAAAAATAAAAAAATTTACGCATGGTATCTAATGGGCTAACCGCTAACCATAAAATAAAAGAGTTGAATGGGCCTGACCTACACGGGATTTGGCCATCAAGTAAAAAAAATGAACATCATTGGTTTTCCATTCTAAAACAAGCTATTTTCTCTGGCATAAAATATATTATGCTATTATTTTATATCTTAGTGGGTAAAATATAATGTATTTTAAAGTTATTCAATGGTTCAACCTCGACCAACCCAATTAGTCCAATTTTTATAATTTCAAATATATATTATATAATTATTTGATATCATAATGATCAAATTATAGTGTATTTTACAGGGAATCGTTTGGTATTTGTTAGTAAAAAACTAAACAGAAAGATCTATTTGGTTATTCTAAACATTAAAACGATCCTAAACAATATTGTTTCACAAGGTAACAAGTACTTGATTTTGGTTCATAAGGCCGATTTTTGATTCGTTTCATCATTCATGTCTCTTTCCTGCTAAAATTCATTATTTTTATCACGTGTTTCCCAAAAAAAAAACTATACAACAATAAGCTATACACCCCATTACATTATCAAATTTCATACCTCAGCTTCTTCCGGCCAACTGGCCGGGGCCACACTAGTAATGATTAGATCACCACACGTGGAGATCAGGACGGTCGTGTTGGATGTCGCGAGATCGAGAGGAGAAGAGATATTGGGCGCGATACGAAATGGGATCGAAGGGCTAGACGTGGGAATTCTCGTCAACAACGCTGGGGTCGGCTTCCCTCTGCCGATGTTCTTCCACGAGATGGACGCGGAGCTGGTGGAACGGTCGTTGAGGGTGAACGTGGAGGCCGCGAGTTGGGTGGCTAAGGCGGTGGTTCCGGCGATGCTGCGGAAGGGGAGAGGCGCGGTGGTTAACGTTGGTTCGGGTTCGTCCGTCGTCGTGCCTTCGTATCCTTTGATGACGGTTTATGGCGCCACTAAAGCGTAAGAAAAATTCAAGTTATGTTTCTGTTCTGATTTCGTGCATGAATCGTGGGTTTCTTTCTTTGATTCATTCGGAGGAAAGTTATGGACTGTCCCACGACGTCGTCTAACGAGTTTAGAGTAGTGTTTTATAAGATCCTATCTACACAATATATAATAATAGCAGGAAGAGGAAAACGGTTGCTCCATTTTAAATTTCCTGCAATTAAAGTGAAAATAAGAAGGACATTTTGGTATCCACAATTACCTTTCTTTTATTCATTAAAAAGACACGTATTGGGATTCGAACAATGACCACTTTAAAGAAAAGCAAGTATCATAACCAATCACACTAAGTACATTTGTTGTAGCTTTTTAAACTAAAAACATATAATAGCAGGGAGAAAAAATCATTCCCCCATTTCAAATTCCCTGCTCCATGAGCGTTTGTAGGAATGGTAGAATAGGGAGTGTCAATTTTTTTCTCTTTGCTCTGTGGAACGGGCCAACTACACATGCGGATTTAAACGGGTCTAGAAGTGTCAATTTTCTTCTTTAAACCCTTTTATTTCTCGGTAGTGGTAAAATCTATATGAAAAGGCAAAAAAAAAATACTCATTTTTATTGCTAATTTTTTTTAACAATAAGCTAATACATGAATTCTAATGGGCTAACCGCTAATCATAAAATAAAAGAGTTGAATGGGCCTGACTGACCTACACGGAATTTGGTCATAAAGTAAAACAAATGAACATCATGGGTTTTCCATTCTAAAACAAACTATTTTCTTTATCATAAGATATATTATGCTATTATTTTATATCTTAGTGGGTAAAATATAATGTATTTTAAAGTTATTCAATGGTTCAACCTCGGCCAATCCAATTAGTCCAATTTTTATGATTTCAAAATAATGTATTTTAAAGTTATTCAATGGTTCAACCTCGGCCAACCCAATTAGTCCAATTTTTATGATTTCAAATATATATTATGTAATTATTTGATATCATAATGATTAAATTATAGTGTATATTATAGGGAATCGTTTGATATTTGTTAGTAAAAACTAAACAGAAAGATCTAATTGGTTATTTTTAACATTAAAACGATCCTAAACATTTTCCGTTTCCTTTAGAATTTCTATGGTTTTATTCCCGAATAAGTGATGTGCAAATGGTGAATTGCAGTCATCTCTTTTCTTTCACTATTTTTTATTTTCAAATAGAAAGTTGAAAACTAAAGAATAATTAGAGTTCGGCATGGGTCGGTCAAACAGGCTGAATTTCAAGTTTTGGCCCCTTTTGATCAAGTCTAATTTATAATCACATTGTTCCCCCGATACCCGATAAAAATCTCAATCCAAACCAGTTTGGCAGGTGAGTCCGTGTTTACCACCATTTTCTAGGGATACAGAAACGACGGTTCCTATCCCAAATCGTGTTGTTCGTTATTGCTTTCTTTAGATTTTATTATGGCCTAGCAAAAACCAGAAAGCACAATGACGACAAGATGAAATTTTTATAAAGCAAATTAATCGGCCAACGGGCCGAGTAAAAGCTAGCAACGATTGTGAGATGCTCATTTCCCGAGAACCGGTGGGACAAGCGAATTTTTATTCGATTTTCTGGAATTCGGTTTCTATAAAACTTACTCCACCTCATCATACTACCAGAAAAAATATTGTTTCACAAGGTAACAGGTACTTAATTTTGTTTCATAAGGCTAATTTTTGATTCGTTGCATCATTCATGTCTCTTTCCTGCTAAAATTTACTATTTTTATCACGTGTTTCCCAAAAAAAATTATACAACAGTAAGCTATACACCCCATTACATTATCAAATTTCATACCTCACCTTCCTCCGGCCAACTGGTCGGGGCCACGCTAGTGTCTTATAGACTTAAATCCCAACAGTATCCATACTAATGGTTCGATTTGAAACTTTTCCTATTATGGCTTAAACTGATAGGCAGTTTTTATTGGCATTAAACAACTGAACTAAGAGTTGAACACAAAATATCGACACTGCTATAACTTTTACCGTACAGCTTTCGGTACAATTTTGTAATCATTGATTTAGAGTTTATTTTGGTTCTGTGTAGGTATGTGGCTATGCTCTCAAGATGCATGAGTTGGGAATATAAACCGCATGGGATTGATATCCAATGTCAGGTAAAGTATACAATGTTAATAAATAAAAATTTATTTTATGTCGTGAATTTTGTTATTCCCGTCACAATTCAAAATCGCGAGAATGTGTTTATAGAGATAGGCGTCAGTGGATCGAGCATTAAGATCTTTGAGATTATGGTCCATCCACTGTCTCAAAGTGTTCAACACTCGATCCAACGGCTCCCAATCATGTGAGTACATTCTCACATATAAACTTTGTGACGATGATGATCGGTTGCCACTATATATGGTGGGGTAAAAAAAGGTGTACCAAATTTGACTTCACTGATTACAATAATGGATGTGAAAATTAATTGATGATTAGTGACTATATGATTATATGAACCTCGCTCTTTCATGAATTTTCGTTGCCGTACAAACATTCAAACAACAATTTAGAATTTGTCTAATCCATTGTTCTCGTCGCCATTGGTCCGGTTGCTATATGTCAGATCCCGCTTTTTGTGTCAACAAAGATGACGAGGATGAGGAGATCCAGGTTCATGGTGGCGTCGGCGGAGGAATATGCGAGAGCAAGCCTGCGAGGGATGGGCTACGAGCAACTGTGCTGCCCATTGTGGACTCATTCCCTGCAATGGGCCTTTTTCGCATCCGTACCCGATGCCCTTCTCAATTGGTTTACGTTTCGCTACTTTCTTCAGGTCAGGGAAAGGGGCCTCGCCAAAGCCCAGGCCCGTTCGTAAGAGGCCCGTATGAGGGGAAATAAGACAGGCGGGTCCGATCTCCTAGGTATAAAAAAAGGGCTGGTGGCAAACTTGGGGTCGTTTGGAGGTTGAGATTCTTCAAATATGTGTATTCGATGAATAAATGGATTGTAAATTCAAAGATTGTAAGAATTAGATGATTGGAAGAATGTGTCGTTTGTTTGTAACAATTCAAAAATTTGAAGACAAGAAAAATCACTTTATGAGCTAAAAGTATAACAAATTAAAGTCCACAATCTCAAAGGAAGAATCTCACCTTTTTTTTTAGATTTAAAATGAGTGACTATGGGTGATATGAGATTTGAAGGTCCACCTCAAATGTATGTATTGAATAAAGTTTTGGGACAAAAAAAACGATGGATTCTCCAGAATACATGAATTAAGAGAATCATTTATCTAGAATCATAACTTCCAAACGATCCCTTGATTAATCTAATGTTCATATAATCAAATTAAGATGGACGAGCATGTGACGGCCTTTTCTTCCTTTTGACAATAGCATGTGGAATCATAGATGCAATGGCTATCATTAGTCTTTCGCTCACATCATAAGCGAAAGCTGTTTCTGAGTTGGTTTTTGCCTCTCAAAAGGGTTGCCAATTGATTTGGCCGTCAATAAATAGCATTGTCGTGGAGTGATGGCGATAAATAACAACCGCCCGTACATCAGAGTTTCAACATAGAGAGGCGAGGTGAGAAGATCGGAGGATAACATCCATGGACATACTTCAACATACTTAAAAATGCGGATTTCATCTCTACTCAGAGAATGTCACCAGCTTTTTTCATCTGATTATTTTTGTATTTTTTTTCGTGAGAAAATTCTTGTGTTTGAAATTAATGAATACATGTTTGATTTCTTGAACAACGACAATAATACAGATCATTATCTTTCCGAGCAATGTTCGAACGAGAGTGTTTGATGTTTTTTATAGTTTTTGTGGAATAAGCAAGCTAATTACACCTACTCCTATGGAGGTTCAATGAGAGCTCCAAAAACTAAAAGCTACACTATGGCTACATTGCAAAAAAAAAAGGATAAAGTTTGATATTTGGTGTCAAGTGTTTGGTTGTAGAACCCCATTACAATATTCATTTCTCCTATTTATAGCCACCAGGTGTAACTGCCTTGGTAACTGTTAACTGACTAGTTGCTCCAATCGCCTCGAGGACTCCTTACCTCATTTTGGTTACCGCTAACTAGTCGTCTGATCCAACTGCCTTAGGGACCCATTGTCGTCGCCTTGGTTACCAATGGATAACCATCGCTTTGGTGTGGACTCCCATCACCTTGGGGGTCCCTTGCCTCGTCTTATTGACTGGTTGGTACTTGATGGCCTCGAGTCCTCGACGCCAAGCTGGGTTGGTGTTGAGTTTTGTCGCATTGTCGTGGTTGGATGGGGTTGAGGCTCTTTGTCAGTTTGTTTTAGTTTCCATGACAAAGTCTTGATTACAGCGACATCTCCCAAGACTCACACTTAGTTTTGTTGCTATCCTCTTTCTCTTACTCTTGTTGTCTTGAGACTGCTACCACATTGATTATATGAGAGACCCCTCCATGTCAGCCTGGGAACATCCTCATCTTTTCCCACCAAGTCTCCAAACTTAGTCTTAGGGAGTTCGTCATGATACCAACTTGTCATCTTGGTATCAAGCATGTCTTGTCGACTTGGTACCTTGTTGTCTATGGGTATTTGGGTATATCCATACCCGTCCCATTTTCTTAGTGTTACTGGTACCCAAATACACCAAAATACCCGTAATTATTTTTACGGAATAGGAGTTGGGATCAAGAAATTTTATAATGGGTACCCATGGGTTACCCGGGTATTACGGGTACCTATACTACCCATACTACCCGCATAGTCCAGCCCCGTAACTAATTTTCTGCTGACATAGCGTCGACTCTACATAAACGAGCTATCCCAAATACATTATTCCATTTTTAGACCGCTCTTCCAACCAGAAAAGCATGGAACATAAACACTGATTAACTAATCCTCATAGTAAAACTCAGCCAATTACAAGCCAGCCATGGAAAGGAGAAGTAAAACTCAACCAATTACAAATGCCATTCAATTACAAATCCTCATAGTAAAACACAGTCAATTACAAAGCCAATTATAAACGAGATATCCCATTTGTTCCTCTTTTCCTATTCCTTTCTCCAACACACGAAAGAAGAAAGCCTCAACCTATGGGTACTCGCGGGTACTCGTTATTCGTCCCGTACGGGTAATGGGTACCCATTAACCCGTACGAGTTTGTGATATGGGATGGAGTTTGCTCTCCAAATGGGATTGGGTACTCGTTTTAAACGGGGCGGGTACCCAATCTCGTCCCGTTGCCCACCCCTATTGTTGTCTCTCCGGCTTTATACCCCCTGCTATCAAGCCACTAATGTACTTATTTTTAGAATTTCAACAAGTTGGTATCTTCCACTCTGCCGGCTTGGTACCCCGTTAGGGGCCCACCAAGAGCTTCTTCGGACTTAGTCTCTACATCTTGTCCATAATGACTTGGTTCCTAGTGGAGTGGCCACCTCCTTATCGAGTTGACACCTTGCCAGTTTGATCTCTATACTTAGTTTTTGGAAGATTTGGTAACTTGATACCAAGGTTGTCTTGCCGACTTGGTACCCTCTTGCTTAGCTACCAAGCCTGTTTTGCCAGCTTGGTATCTAGACTTAGTTTCTGTACGAATCTCTAGTTGGTACCGTGTTTGGTATTCATACTTAGCCATATTTCATATTTCACTATCAAGCCTGTCTTGTTTGCTTACCTTGTTGTCTTGGTACCCCCTTGGTGTCTTGGTACCAAGCCTGCCTTGATCGGCTTGGTGCCCTGTTTGCTCCATAGCCAAATTTCATGTCTTGATACCAGCCTGCTCTATGAGCATGGTACCCTGTTGGCTTTATAATTAGCCAAATTTCATGTTTTGACACCAGACATACCTTGCATGATTGATACCCTGTTGGTTCCATACTTAGCAAAATTTCATGTATTGGTACCAAGCCTGCCTTGCCGGCTTTCATGTTTTTGCAGGCCTACCTTGCCTGCTTGATACTATGTTGGCTCCATACATAGCCAAACCTCATGTTTTGGTACCAAGTTTGCCTTGCCGGCTTTCATGTTTTTAGCACCAGCCCTACCTTGTCAGCTTTATACCATATTGGCTTCATATTTAGTCAAATTTCTGGTTTTGGTACCAAACCTGCCTTGCTCGCTTGGTGCCCTGTTAGCCCCATACTTAGCCAAATTTCATTTGTTTGGCACCATGCCTACCTTGTCAGCTTGGTACCCTCTTAGCTCCATACTTAGCCAAATTTCATGTCTTGATACTTTTAGAGCCATATTTCCTACCAAGCGGGAGGAGCCCACTGACAATAAAAGCCAGAGAGACTGGTCGACCACTAGGCAAAGGAGAGGGAGTTTGACCACTCAGATCCACAAACCCAACCCCATAAGTCCCAACTACCTCATTCAATGATTAATGTTGAAGTGACCTTATAAATCTATTAAATCACTTGTAGTTAATCAATGGGATATGAGATTAAATTTTAGGTGTAAATAATATTAGTTTTAGCTCATTTCTCATAATGAAAAACCTATCGAAGAAGAAAAAAGGTCAAATTAGAACGAGGTTTAAACGAGCGTGGGGTGGAAAATGGGTCAAGAAAGAAGAGGTAGGTTGGGTTGGGACAATATGACATGACGAGTTTTAATGACATGACATATTGATTTTTTGACTTGTTCGGTTAAATACGGAAACTGATAGAGATTAACAACCAAAGACTATACTGGGACTACGTACAAAACTAATTCTATCAACCACGAATGGAATGAAATATTTTTAGTGACAAAGGTCCTATATTTTATATTTTAATAATTCAGTGACTAAACTTGCAATTTATTCCTCTCGCCCCTTTGCATTGTCGTCCCAAGTCCCAACCCACTTGTAACTAGGGATGGCAACAAAATCCGAACCCACGGGTACCCTACCCGACCCAACCCGGTCAATGCGGGTAAAATTCGCGTTGACGAGTTTCAGGTTTAAACTCGTACACTGTGAAAAAGGTATTACGGAAATGATATTGTTTGTGAAAATCAGTTTGAGATTGTATTGAGATCTTGAGGGATAATTATACATGTACAGAGGAGGGTTTGTAGCAACAAACATACCCACGTTTCACAAAGATAGGAACGGCAGAAAGTGGGGAAAAATAAAAGAATAAAAGAAATAAAATTCTTTTATGCACTATCTCTAATACACCCCCGCAAGACGGAGGAGGTATCAACGACGCCGATCTTGGACCGTAGAAGCAAAAACCGGGTGGATAGTAGTGGTTTGGTGAGAGCATCGGCAAGCTGTTGTGCAGTGGGGACGTAAGAAACAGATAGTCGACCAGGGTGGACCAACTGGTGAACAAAGTGATAGTCCAAGGCAAGATGCTTCATACGAGAGTGAAAGACAGGATTGGCACTAGAGTAAGTGGCCCCAAGATTGTCAAAGTAGAGAGTCGGGTGAGATGATAAGGGATGGCGAAGCTCGAGGAGGAGATTCTGAATCCACTCCAATTCCGCAATAGCATGAGCAATGGCGCGAAATTCAGCCTCGGTGCTAGAATGGGCCACTGTGCGCTGTTTTTGAGACCACCAAGAGATGAGAGTAGAGCTGAGAAACACCAAATATCCAGACGTGGAGGACCGATCATCAAGGTTCCCCGCCTAGTCGGAGTCTGCAAAAGCATGGAGAGAGAGAGAGGACCAGGGGACCAAGCAATGGAAAGACAATAAGTGAGGGTACCGGAGACATAACGAAGTAGGCGTTTGACACATTGCCAATGATGTACTGTCGGGGCATGCATATATTGAGAGAATTTGTTGACTGAAAATCAATGTCCGGACTAGTGTAAACCAGATACTGAAGAGCGCCAAGGGCCTGAGGATAGCGAGTAGCATCTGTGGGGGCACTGCCATCACACAGGGTGAGAGTAGTGGACGCGGAGAGAGGCGTGTCAACGACCTTCATATCAGTCAGCTGAAATAGGTGTGAGATGTCAACTATGTACTTAAGCTGGGAAAGAATGAAACCCGAGGAGGTCATAATAACTTCAATGCCGAGAAAATAATTGACATCACCAAGAGCCTTGAGGGAAAACTGTTGAGAGAGAGCAGCCCGAAAGGTGGAGAGAATT